TAAATTTATATTATTTTTTCTTTCAGAATTTTTACAATCTGAGATGGTTACAGTTACCATCTTTGATTTTAACAGTTATAATTTATAATAATTACAATTATTATTTTCGATAGTAATCGTTACCATCATTAATAATAACTATTACAATTGTCAATGAAACCACCTAATATTTTGTTACTAATTTATTTTATTACCATTTTAGATAGTAGGAGTTACTATTTTTGTATAGTAGGTAGTATAATTAATTTTTCTCCGTGTGGGTGGTAGTATTTTTTATCTTTGGAATCAAAAATACCAGCTCAAAAGATCAATCGAAAATCCATCAATAAAATGACTTCAAAAACTATCCATATACTTATGATGCTTGGAGCATTTAGCTGATTTGATTTTTTGAACAATCTGTTTCGAGGAAGAAATAATCAGATATACTGCCTGTTCATGGATAATCTTATTTAAAGCATTTAATACATGAAGTTCTTAATGATTACGCCTATTAATGTCTGCCCATCGCACTTCATTCCTAATCAGCCTTAATCTTCGATCATTTTTCACGTTTGACTAGGCACGACCATTTGTTTTTTCTCAAATATCTCGATATAGCCTCCTTTTTTTCATTAATATATTGAAATATATTATTTTATATAACTTGAGATGTAAACTGCAATATATGATCGTCAATATATATTTTATTAGATAATTGAATTGTAATAAAGATTATAAATATCAATATATATGTAGAGTATAAATTAATTCATTATATTTACTTATAATTGTTTAATATATTTTCAACTTACACTCGGAATATATATTATTGAAATATATATTCAGTTATAAATTAAATATACCTTCATATATTATGAATTTTATAATTTAACTACTATTTCTTAATTACATTTTCATTATAATAGGAAAATATAATATTACCATACAGCGAATTTCGCCGAATATATTAACACCTAATAGTTTTATATTTTGCTATCTATACAATATCATCTATATACAATATCATCATATATGTACTTTTCATACGGGTAACATCAATGTCTTCAATGAATAGCTCTCGTAAGTACTTGGGCTTTTCAACTTGAAGTAACTTGTAAGAGTAACAGCTCATGTAGTACATTCGGCGATACTTCACAGACAACTCAGCTCACGTCTGAAAGGTGTAATGTGCTCATCTTTTTTGAGATTAAACATAAATCTGATAGAGCAGTTAATCGCACGTTGTAGTTTTAAATTGTTATCAGAAGTTGAGTCGACCAATACAACGGAACAATAGTCAACGAATGGTAGGATGGTTGCTAATACTAGCAATTTCCTTATAGGAGTTGAAAAGATATTTTTCCTAACGTTGAGACAATGCAGAGCTGAGTTCACTTTACTAACTATCTGAGTGACGTGGTAGTTCCATGACAGATTTCTACTTAGCTGAATACCCAAGCACTTGGTATAGTTGACGTAGGGTATAATGACACCATTTACGACTATTGGTAGCAGATCCAAGTCCTCAAGTTTTTTCAACTTACTATTAGAGCACAAAATCGTAGCTTTTGTTTTAGTGAAGTTGATTTCCAATCCATGGTCTCTTGCCCAGTCAGCGACTGATTATGCATCCGAGTTGATCCTCCCGATAGCATCATGTAGCTGATAGAAAAAGAAGTGAGTATATATATATATATATATATATTTGTCATCAGCAAACAATCCATGCTTGCAATATACCAGCCGTTGAGCCACAGAATTCATGACTATTAGAAACAGGATTGGACCCAGAACAGATCCCTGCGGAACACCAGATGACGTTTTGAGTAATTGAATTGGAGTCCCAAGATCATTTAGTATTGATTGAGATCGACCCGACAAGTAAGAGAAAAACAAATTTATTGTTTTCATTGAGAAACCAAGCTCAAATAGTGCAATCAGAATATTTTTAGGATCAACATAGTCGAAAGCTTTGCTCAAGTCAAACAATACTAATACAGTGAGCTTGCTGTTGTCCATTGCTTGTCGAATATCATCAGTGAGTCTTCATAACGCTGTTTGCGTACTGTGATGTTTCCTGAATCCAGACTAAAAAGGATCAAATAGCTCATTATTTTCCCAATATGCTGTCACCTGATTTGCAATAATTCTTTCAAAGACTTTAGCTAAATGCGACAAATTCGCAACCGGACGAGTGTCTGACGGAGACCTTAGTGTGATCTTATTTGAAGGTATTATGTAAATTATCTTCCAAATATCAGGAAAAATACAAGATGGATGCTCTCTTACTATATTTGCAAAATAATCATTTAGTTCACACGCATCAAAGAAATTCAGCGGCAATGAAGATTTGATTTAATTAATCCAAAATGTTTGAGTTTACTCCATACAGTTGAACCATGAGGTAGATTTGAGAGAGCAGATTTTAAATATTCTTCATGAGCATGATTCATCTCAGATTTCAATTTCTTCCTTTTTAATCTGAAAAGAGCAATCACGTTTGGATCCCCGTTTCTTCTGGCTTTTTTATAAATTTCATCACGTTCTTTACACTTCACTTTCAAATCTTAAGTAAACCACGGATTATTCACACGCATAACCTTTTTTGTGTTTATAGGTGCCACCAAGTCCAGACAAGTTAAAACCTCAGTTTTAAAAATATTCAGTAATTCATCAGAATTTGAATTCTCAAGCACAGTACTATGAATTTTCAAACAGTTCATAAGTGAAGTTGATAGGGCCAGATGATCACAATTTTTTTAAGTTTCTATAGGAGATTATCTTCAGTGGTGATTTCAAATTATTCAGTTTGTATTGGCATAGCAGGTAATCATGACCATCAATAAATGGACACTGAGATTTGGTAAACAAGCCTAATTTAGTTTCATCATCAAGCAAAATGACATCTAGCCATGAGTCACATTTGTTTTTATGAAAGGTAGCACCATAGGGTACACAGTACAGTGACGACTCTGTTATAAAATTTTTTAAGTGATTTGCAGTATAGCTATCATCTAACAAGTTGCAGTTTAAATCACCAGCTATGATAATATTGTTAAAATTTGGATAAAGTTTAGAGAATATGTCAAAAAATTCATTGAGAAAAAGTCCTTTAGGTCTTCGATAGACGCATGATAATAAAAGATGAGACCCTGAGGTTAAGGTTACGTCAACAATCATAAATTCCGGCTGATTTAGATGATCAGAAGTTGAGATGTGAAGTACTTTGGCTTTTAAAGATCTATGTATAAGACATGCTATACCACCTCCTTGAATGTAACGATTGGTATCTGTGTGTTTTAAGATTCGATCTCTACGTATGATGAAGTAATCATCAAGTGAGAAAATATTGTTATCAATTGAAGGTTTTAACCAAGTCTCTACAAGTACAATAATGTCAGGTTTTGTATAAACAACTGAATCAAGAAACTCAACAATATGACCAGCAACTGTTGCGGAATTACCGACCACCAACTCGTGATCGATAACTCCAGCAATTATTTAACCACCAGAGGAGGCAGCCTCCGAGGCGCCTCTGGTGGCTACGGCCTTCAACGCAGTCAAAGCCATGCTTTGACTGTTGCTTATATTCCACGTGATCCCGACAAGTACGGTATCACAGCGTAGTTAAGTGCAAAATTACAAATAAATAGATCAACTAAAGTTCCAACAGCTCATCAGCATTCATTTAGGATCTCAATTGTCATTCACTGTAATAAGTACAGGTATTGTCATAATTAACTTTAATTATTATATTAATTTATGCATTCAGCACATGCTATAACCTATCTTCTTGTTGGCGGGACTTGGCTTCACCAAGCCTGCTGAATATATATATACAAACACATTCGTAATCACATACATTCAACACATTCATGCATTCAGTATTATTATTATTATTATTATTCTGTGTTCAATTTTACGTTCTATGATGATCTTATCTTATCTTATCAGGCTATCTTATCCTATCAAGCTTATCTTATCTTTAAAATAAGGGGCCATCCATAAAGTACGTCACACGTTAATGGGGAGGGAGGGTATCACCGAAGTGTGACATCGTGTGACAAGGGGCATGGGGGGGGGGTCGATACTTTTGTGACGTCACATGTTAAAATTTAAAATACTAAAACGCAAAGTTTGGATGTGAATTAAAAATTTTAAAAATTTACGAACTTGATCTATATTTATTAATAATTTAGCATTCTCGCTATGCGATAATCTCTCATGCAACGTCATTTAACTTCTAAAGCGGCGTTGTAATGCAAGTGGGACACTCAAATTCACGAGAATTTTGAATGGTAAGGATTTAAATAGGTTTAAGTCGTCAGCGAGTGCTCGCTCGCTTTTCTATCGTTCCGCACGTCGGTTGTTTGCGAGACCTTCGACAAGTGCTACCTCACGTGCCGGCGCAGTGACTTCAATACATTCCCTTTGTTTATTTCACGATTGACTTTTGCCGAGTGGCAGTCATAGTCTTCTCAGTTTAAGGGGTTATACGCAGTTGCGAGGCTCAAAAATAAGGTTTTTTTACGATTTTTTTGTGGACACAGCTTTTATTTACTAAGTACAAGTAATAGTAATTCTGAAAGAGCACACTTTGAAAAATATAATTTTGTATTACTCGTGTCAAAATATTGATGTGCACCGTCTCTGCAGATGATGTCCTGAACGACCTCCAAAAAAAGGCGCTCGGCGGTGAGCACGATTTTGTCGGTTTGGATTATCTGAAATAAAAAAAAAGGTGAATTCTTTTAAAGGATAGATAAATGCAGGTATTGAACGAAGGAATAAACAAAATTTTATCTGTTGCTAGCGCTTGCTGCCAAGTACACCATGAACCTTCTCCACCTGGGCACATTTCGTGTTGAGGATTCTCATCGGTCGAACAATAGTGATAATAAGTTCCCCAAATTGCATTATACATACTGTTCACAGAATCACAATTTCTTCTTATTGCCAAACCGTAATAAACTGTCAGCTTATCTATTAGCTTAGCTGTGAGCTTACCTTTTCCAGAAAGTACTTTTTTATTAATTGTTTTTCCGTCTTTTTCTATTGATTCAGTCTTGTTTTTTACTAGGTCGCGGAGTCGTGAGCCCATCCTCTTTTGAACATGCCCGATACATTCTTTTTTAACAATTTCATAGTCATTATAAGGAGCAGCTTTCAGTAACCCAGAATATGTTTTTGAATCGCCATCACCTATATAGTTTTTATAACGAACTTGGAATTTTTCGATTGAACGCTTGAACATTTCAATAACAGAATCGACTTCCATTTTACCTGAAGAGCCATTGTGATTCGCAGCACAAGTTTTTTTATGTTCATCGTGCCACTCAGTATACTCTTCAGTACCTTTTTTAGGTTTCCAAACCTCACACTGCTTACAGTAAGAACTTTTCACTATTAAATCAATGATTTTTCAAGTGTAATATCCAATCAATAATTTCACTCCATATAAAGAAGAATACTCTCGCTTCTTCCAGGTTCCGTCACCCGAAACTGTTAGTTCTCCATTACTTTGGTCACCTTGGTCATTTTGGTCACCTTGGTTTCCAGCAGTCGCTTCTTTTTCCTCAGTACAGGCTTTTTCAAACAGTTTTTCAGCTGCTATTTTCACACAAGAATGAATGTTCTCAATAATCAAATCATAAGTGTTTTGTTTTAAAAAAGCAGGCATATCCATCAAGCCACAAAATTTAGCTGCGCCTTTTAATCCTAGTCCCAGAATTCCCATCACAAATATAAATCTTCTGTTTATTTCGTAAGAATGCTTGACAAAAGGGCTGGAGTTTATCACACGATTCTCACAGTTATCACACAGTACAACGATTTTAAAACCAAGTCCACGGGTAGAAGCAGTTTCAAATTTTATGTTTCCCTTAAAAGACTTACATTGCACATACTCACTTATCGCAGCAAATACTGTAATGAAGTTTAGAATTCTATATTCAATCGAAGGATCACGTGAAACTAAAATCTCTTTCTGCATTTTAAATTTTTTCGCAGACGCACTAAAACTACTTTCATCCGTTTCAGTAGTCTTTGGATTAAAAGTCTGTGTTCTCTTTTTTTTTCTAGATAATTGGACATTTTCGGTACTTCTGCGAGATCTCGAACATTTACGAGGCATTTTTTAATGTTTAAATAAAATTCACTAGTAAGTTTAAACTGAACGCACGACTTTACCACTTAGCAGTACAATTTAGACTGACGAAACACTTTTTTTAGGTTATAATATAACTGCACGTGACCTTCAAGTCTTTAGTATATCTGACTATTATACTCGTATTCTACAAGAAAACAATAGAATAAAGGGTCTCAGGTAGCGCGCCTCATGCATGCAGCTGCTCGTCCAGTTCTTACTGACCCTACTTTCTAACGCTCTGACGTGGCCTTACAAATTCAGGTAAATCTCCGAAAATATTTATCGGATTGACTTCAAATTTTCAGAGAATATACTCAAATATATGTACATTCCGAAAATGCAAAAAAAAAACAATTTTTTGAAAATTCTAACTGCGTATAACCCCTTAATTGTTTTAACATTTTTAATTTATTAAATTATTTTAAAATGAACAAAAAGATTGATTTAGGTAGTCTTTACCGCAGATTATTCGATGCCTATAGTGCAGCCTATGCTGACAAAAAAAAACAAATCATACAAGAAGAAGTTAACGCCTTATCGAAAAGATTAAAAAATAATGATAACGTTGAAGATGAGACAGAATCAAAAATTAAAGAATTACAAGTGAAATTGACCAAAAAAAAGGGGACACTTTTGAGTTTTTTCTCAAAGAATTCTTCTTCATCAAAGGCATTAGCACTAGTAAAGCCACAAGACAGTAAAGTAAGTTCAAAATTTATAATACAACTAATTAGGTTAAATCAGTTAAACATCTTTAATTTAGATTATTATAAAATAGTCCGTAATTACATATATCTTTCTATCTCTGTTTGTTCGAAGTTTTGCTTGATATTTAATACTCGGGGTTGCTACTTTTATTTAATATATTACATGTTTACTTTTCATTACAGAAGGACACTAAACTGAGTAATTCAGAAGAAATTAAAAATGTTATGACAGAATCGAGTAGATGTCAATCACTTCAAATAGTAGCTAAACCAACACCTAGTCAACACGCTTCCAAGAATAAAATTATTGTACTCGAATATGAGCTCAATAGCTTAGTATTAGCACGTGATGCTGTTATAGTGACAGATGATGCTACCAAAAAAATAACAACATTAAGAAAAGATATTCAAGCAGAAAAGACCTCATTGAAAAGAAAAATCGACGCAGCGGAACGCCAAAAAAAAAGTCGTGATACTAAAAAACAAAAAATTTTAGAACTGTGTGAAAATAATCCTGATGTAGCAACTGCTCTTAAACTTCGAAATACTTTTGGTCGGCCTAGAGTTGAGGAAAATCAATCCGGTTTACTTGAAGTAATAAAATCAATTGCTCTTTTTGGTGGCGCAGCTGATGATCGCCGTCGTACTGAAGTTATAAGATGTTGTAAGACATTAGACGACTTGCAAGCTGAACTATTTAAGCAAGGCTATACTATCAGTCGCTCAGGATTGTATGTGAGACTTCTTCCTAAGCGAGTAAATACAGAGGAAGGTAAAAAACATGTCGTAACGGTTCCTGTCAAGCTTTGTAAACCAGACTCTACGTTACATTCAAAGCATAAAGATGGCAAATTTTGTACCGCTACTATACGAAATCTTGAATCTGTAGCTTCAATTTTGGGTCCGGACCAAGTTTTTTTTTATCGATGGATGATAAAGCACGTGTACCTTTAGGCATTACAACAGCTAACGCTCAAGCACCAATATTAATGCATCTTGATTACCGTGTCCAATTGCCAGATCATGATTTTGTAGTCGCCGAGAAACATAAACTTATTTCATCTGTTTATGCGGGCATTCTAATAAAAAAAGATGGTGAAGGATCACCTGAAGCTGTGATGTACTCTGGTCCTACATACGTAGCAATTCGTAGTGGAAAACATTCATCTTCCAATGCAGAGACTCATGCTATTGACATTCATAAGCTTTCTGAATTACCGACTTTCGAAAATTTATTAAGAACTAGAGAAGGTTTTGTAGAACCTGTATTTATTTTCACATGCGATGGTGGTCCTGATGAAAATCCACGGTACAAGCGGGTTATAATTTCAGCTATAAAACATTTTAAAGATTTTGATTTAGATGCAATTTTTATAGCTACAAATGCCCCAGGAAGGAGTGCATTTAACAGAGTCGAACGACGCATGGCACCTCTTAGTCGTGAACTTACTGGTATAATATTAAATCATGATGATTTTGGGTCACATCTCGATTCAAGTAATCGAACTACTGATTTGGAACTAGAAAAACGGAACTTTGAAAGTGCAGGAAATGTGTTAGCTGATATTTGGAGCAAATTAGTCATTGATGAATTTCCTGTAGTTGCCGAATATGTTGTACCAACTGACACCACACTCGAAGCTAATCTTGCTATGATGTTGAAAAATAATGCTACTTGGTATGCTAATCACGTACGTGAGTCACAATATTTTTTA